TCTCTCTCTCTCTCTCTCTCTCTCTCTCTCTCTCTCTCTCTCTCTCTACACGCGATGGAAATACAGTAAACTCTCCCATAGCGCGGATACCTGCGATGCGTTATTTTATATGAATAACACTGTCCAACACGATTTTTTTTCCGCGATATCCACTAGGTGATTCTTATAGGCTTCCTCGTCCTAAATACGAATCTAAAAGTGAAATTGCTCCATCACCCTTAGTTTTCGAGAAATACGAGATTTTGTAAAAACGGTCGATTTTGAGAGAAAACGTAGTACTACTTGAAAACTACGAACGCTAGAAAGTTCTATTTAGTCTTAAAAGATAGAGGAGTGTTCTCTGAACATGAAGACATATTCCTTTAGAATTATCTGCTCCTTTGAATGCTTGTAAATGAACACCGAAGTTCAAAAAGGTGATGATGCGTGAATTTTTCAAGAAATACTTTTGTATTTTAATGAAAAGTTATTCACCTAGGTTGAATTTACACTACGTTATCGGATTCTGCAAATATTTCTGAAGAGAAAACCACCCGCGGCAAATGTTGGAACGGTTTCTAATCCATACGGTTTGACAAAACGTCAACTCGGAACGCGTGAACGGTGTTTTACCGCTGCACAGTCGTTGCTCGCTATGTTTCGGTCAGTCAGGGCCGTCGCTACGGGACTCGTCCAATCGGTGCCACGCGCTATCGGTTTTTGTATTACATTTACATGTTCCAGATAAGTAATTCTTTATTTTTAATATTTCATGTATACTGCAACTCAACAAAACGAAGACAATTTTCCACTGTTTAAATTTTAATCATTAATTTCCCTTTTTTTATCTTCAATTATTTGACTTTTGTTAATTTGGTATTGAGCAAACTTTATTTAAATCTAAATTGAATTATTTAACAATTAATTCAATCTATAATTGTATATTTTATTGTTAATTTTTAATGAAAACTGCTACCTATAAAAAATCTCTCTTTAGAGCAGAGTTTACCCCCAAACACTAACTTATAGAACAAAAGTATAAGTATCGAAAAGTAGAAACATTAAGCTTTAAAATGGTTTTATATTCGTCAATGTGGAGCGAATTTTAACGAAGTTACGAGAATTTGATGGTTATTATTCAAGCGCGTGGCGACGATTGTGCAGAATCCACGATGACGGCCCTGATTCACCGATATAAAGCAAGCGAAGTAAATTCAACCTAGGTGAATAACTTTTCATTAAAATACAAAAGTATTTCTTGAAAAATTCACGCATCATCACCTTTTTGAACTTCGGTGTTCATTTACAAGCATTCAAAGGAGCAGATAATTCTAAAGGAATATGTCTTCATGTTCAGAAAACACTCCTCTATCTTTTAAGACTAAATAGAACTTTCTAGCGTTCGTAGTTTTCAAGTAGTACTACGTTTTCTCTCAAAATCGACCGTTTTTACAAAATCTCGTATTTCTCGAAAACTAAGGGTGATGGAGCAATTTCACTTTTAGATTCGTATTTAGGACGAGGAAGCCTATAAGAATCACCTAGTGGATATCGCGGAATTTAAAAAAAGTTTAAATTTGTTGCACACTGTAATTTATTCGTGTTACACAGGAGAAATTCTCGTATAACACAATTTTGTATAACGCGATTTCAGACAGCGCGTGTGTTTTACGGGATTATTAACCGTGTTATACGAGAGTCTACCGTAATTTGAGAATCATTTTTATAGATTCACTCTTCTTCATGACAACAAATTGCTTGAAGCCTCACAAGAGTATAAAATATTAGTTACTCGTTTGGAAAAACCCGATACAAATTTTGTCACTTTTGATTCTCTTTTCCTCTGAACACGGTAAGAAATATTGCGTAGGCGTGGTGGAGAACATATAATTTGAAAGTACAGTGGAACCTCGATAAATGTTCAATGTTTGCATCAGAATCTCATTCACTACATCAGGTTGAAAATTATATTGAAGAATTGAGAAGGAATGTATTTAGAATGAATACAGATGTAGTAGTCAGAATTTTTTATAAAGATAATTTCATTTATAGTTAAGATTTTAGATTTATTCGAATAATAGGTAACGAATAAAACCAGTTTATAATAATGTATTCGTGATATTAATTGGTTTGAACAGTTAAGTTTTTGTTTGTTCATTTAATGTAAATATAAGAATTTTGTATGAGAGTATAACAACTGGTTTGCATTTCTTGCACCAGTCATATTTGTTTTGTTAATAAATTGTGTAATGAAGGTATGAAGGAAATGAATAAATAAATGAATGTATTAGTAAATGGGTTAATAAATACATAAACTTAGTCTCATCTATTGTATAAATCTATTCGTTGGATTCAATTCAATAATTGTATGAATTACGATAGTTTCACAGTTATTCAGCCTTCCTTAGCTCGCAAATATCGAGGTTCGATTGTGTTACACCACTGTGTACGAGTTAATTAATAAAGGACTTACATTCGCTTATCGTACTTTTTTGGACGCCCCGTATATGTACATATGTGTCGATAATTTATGTATATATATATTTGTATAATAAGTATATAATAATGACAGTAGTAAACAATACAATATACTAATAATCGAGATAAAAGCTCTCGATTAGTTGAGTCCCCAGTTGAGTGGAAAGCTCATTTAAAGGTGCAAACTAGCTAACATACTCCCTAATTTAATCAGTTAATCACTAATTGGTGCGCCTAATATTGTTTCGATTCACATTAAGGAACTATCATTGCCGGTGACTTTCTGGTTCTCTACGCTCTAGCCTCTCTGTCTCACCTTTTTATTGCCGTTACCTAAATATAATCATCTAAAAGCGAAGTTTGTTCATGAAAAAACGTGCGTAAAGTTTGGCGAATGATGGACTTATGTAATCTTTGTTACATACACTTTTGGCAACTTTCGGAAATATTTTGATAATTTCTTTTTCAAGCAAACATTTCGTTCGCCGTTTTGGCTTGGGGGGGGGGGGGGGCAGAGGAACATTAGTGCGGCTTTTAAACTTTCTCTACGAATTATCCGAATTAACGTATTTTCAAGATTTGGCACAGAAAATGGAAGCATTTTGAAGGAGGAATTTCTGCGACGAGCTTCGTAAACATTTCATCATAAATCTTCCATTCTCTTACCACTAATCTGTAAATCTAACGTTTATAGGTGGTCACTGCGTGGACTAATTGAATGAACAGAATGAAAGAATTACAAAAAAAATAAATTTGTACGAATTTAGCACGGTAATGGATATTTTTTGTCTCTTTTTTTGTTATTTTTGAGTAATATTAAATATTTGGATATTAATTGTGATACAAATTTTGGTAAAGGAAAAAATCTGTGTTCCTTTCAGGAAAGGAGCTTTTCCACGAGTATTATAAGACTTGTTAGGAACGTTCATTAAAAATATAAACAAGCAAAATTACTATTAATTAAACTTACAAAATTCTTTTTTTGAAGTTTTTACGTACTATTAAGCAAGAAATTCGTGCAAAGTTTTACAAACGTTTTTTCCATTTTGAGTAGAATTAACAGACAAATTGTAAGAGTTACGTTGTGAAAGTTTATACATTATACATAAAGCTTGTATAAACCTCTTTAGAATTTCCTCCTCCTTTAAGAATTTATAGATACATTTTAAGAATTTTCGTTAAGTTTATACGCAACACCGAGCAAAGAATGTTTATAAATCTCTTCAGGATCGCCTCTTCTCTTGAAGAATTCTTAGACACATTTGAGGAATAGCTTGTTTTGAAATATTCGTACGCAATATTAAATAATAAGACTTGTATAAACTTCTCCAGAATTTCCTCCTGTTTTCGATGAAATAATTGTAAGTGAGAACTTATCCGCTAGAAGACTTGCTGCTGGTCGGACTGACATTTATTATCAAATCGTTCACGTTCGGTAGAGGAGGTAACAAAATGTTCGATCTTCTGCTAGTGTCTGGCTCGTAAGTGGTCGTTGTGCTTTTCGATCTCGTGACCAGAGTCCATGGATCCGGCGGTATGATCATGGAGTCGTCCTGCACGTTTTAATTCCGCGATTAATTACGACTTTAGTTTATCTTAAACAGAAACCGTAGAAACCAACACGTTTATTTCTGACACACAATATCGAATGATTTGCTCAAATTAATTTCATGCAATTTATGCCACAAATCTTCCTAAATAATATTTAAAGTGTATTATACTGTTTGCATAATGCAGCCCATAAAATAATAATTACATTGAGAAGCGGAGACGAATCGAAAAAGGAAATATGAAGTTTATCTGCATTCGGTAGAAGAAATAAATAAAGTTTAACGGTTCAGTCTTAATGACGAGGTATTCATCGATAATTTTTTGAATCCATCGAGTCATTTTCAAAGTATGTAATAATAAAAGTTAAGTTACACTTCTAACGAGTATTTCATATACTAAATTGAAGAGATTGTTTATAAGAAAAACCATGAAATACGAATGGTTTAACAATGACTTAATAAAACAATGGTTTAATAAAACTCGTCCAATTCTAAATATAAAAGTCTTAGCAAACTGACTTTTTAAATTCAGCTATTTATTGTTAACTATTTTTTGTAAACAAAAATAATAATTCATACGTACATATGCGTTAGCCTCATGCAAGCATAATATTCATTATAGCGTCCAAACCATTTAAAGCATTTAGCTCCAACTTTACTGCCATTTATATCCAGCTTCACTAGCTCCTCTCTAATAATGATTTCAACAATTTTACCATTAAACATAAATTATTTATGCAATTGGATGCGTGCCAGCTACTTATTTGGCAAGGAAGAATAAATTAACATTAGAGTTTTAAATTAAAAATGTAGTTTTAAAAAACAAGGAATATAAGATACATATGGTATTATAATTTATCCATATTTCTATAACACAATAATTTCTTCACAATACAATTCCACATTCATGAAATGAAAATAAAACAGGTGTAGCGAAATTAGTACAACAATTTCCAGTTGACAAAATAATTTACCTCAACAGAAAAATATCAATTCTATTTTTCGTAACCAAAGGAATATTAAATAATATATCGGAGAAAAAACAAAGTAAGCAAATCAGTGATTAAAACAATTATTACAATTAATTTTAAAAAGACAAGAATTTCTACATATCTAATATTTAATAGTTCTGCAGGTTTACCTATTTGTCACTTAATAACTTTCTAATAGACAATTTCACTATCAAAAGATAAAATAAAATTCCTGCAAATGGCTGCAGGATTAAGGGAGGTGCCCGGTTCAGGACGCTGAAAATGAAGCATTCTTTTATGAAACTTGCAGGGTCTTCTATTGGATATTTGGTGATAACTAGACTGCGGATCTTTATGCAAAATAAAATCTTCGCGAACGTGCCTAGAAATATTGAACCTAAATAGGAATTTACTTTAGTCAGAAAATATTATAACATGAACTTTACTTTCAATCCTTTTTATATGCATGCATATTGTTTGCATTTTGTAGGTTCTTGCAAATTCAAATTTCCTGGAAATGTATAAAGATCCGCAGTCTAGTGATAACAAATAACTTTTTTCGATACAATAAAATCTCTACTTTTAAGTTGAAGGCCTTATAATTCTTGCTAATTCGTAATTTCGGCGGCGAGGGGTCTCCGAACATGTCCACATACATGGTTTTTATGTACAATTTGTATAGGAAAAAAAGATTTTTTATCCCAAAATATCTAGTAAAAGACCCTGTAAGTTTCATACAGATCCGCTTAATACTTTACTGTTGCTAAAATCATAAAAAAAATGCCTCAATTTCAGCGTATTGAAGCTCGACTCCCCCTTAACACGTTCATCGCCATGTCACCCGCATATGGGTGACAGTGCCTTTTACTGAAGAATTAAAAAAAATTAATTTCGGAAGTTAATTGCCAAAGAAAATGAATTTGTATGAAATGTTTGAATTTCGGAGAAGTTACAAAAATAAATACCACGATAAATGTTTGATTATGTAGTCCCCGATAGTTAGTAAATGAAATTCAATCGCGGTAGAAATTTTAGTGTGGCAGTAAACGTGTTAAGGGGGGAGTCTGGTCCAGCTAATGTATTTTTCTAATGCATATAATTTCC